TGACCTCTCTAAGTGGCTTTAAACATCTGTTAAGTTTCTGGGAAAAACCAATGCAGACATGTTCCTGTTTTTAGTTTTCTACACCGCCTTACAACCTAGCTGTTTTTTTTCCATTACATTTTCTTTTAAATACCGTTTTATTTTCACTTGTTAAAAAAATCTCAATTTGTACGTCTATTATTGCCTTTGTTGTCCACTGTTGTCATCACGCTTAGTTAAAATCAGGTCTCTCTTGTAAACGAGTCCCTGAGGCTCAATGAGACTAAACTGTATAAAGGTTGAATGAAAAAATAAGTTTAAACAATATTAAAACTAAATGGCATAATTTCTTCAAATGATTACCAGTAGGTAGTATATATATGGTGATGGGCATCTTGGTTTTTGAAGTGGCAACCTAATTTCGAAAAAAAACTTTCTTAAGTCTAGATGTAGCCAAACACCAAAATGGAAGCTGTTACCTCACTATTTTTCCAAGTTATCCAGCTCACAACATGCATCGACAGATGGATGGAGGTTATTTCCAATTCCCCATTTTCGCTTCATGACCGGGGACATTAATGATGTGACTGTATTATTGAGTCAATCACTGAAAAACTTGTGTATCTGTGACTTTATTTCAGTAAATTGCTTGTTAGAATGCATTCTTTATATGACCAACATGTGCTCTTCTCAGTACATGAGTGTACATGCGTTAGTTCCCTTGGTGTGAGTGAGTTTGTGTGTCGTGTCTCTTATTACGCGAGGCCGGGCGTGGGAATGTGTGGAATGCTGGGTGACGTCAATGGTGACATTCCCGGAGCCTTGGCTCCCTGGACAACAGCTGAGAACAGCAGATCCAAGAGAAGAGAAGTGAGAAAGAGAAGGTAAAGAAGGGATGAGAGAAGGGGGATGACAATAAGATGAGGGGAGTAGAAAGAAGACCGTGAAGATGGAGAAGGGGATGAATGAAAAGTATGAAAATAAAAAAAAAAACACAAAGGGAAAGAAAGTAAATAAGAGGAAAACATACAAAAAAATGGAAAGTAAGTGAGATAGGTCATTAGATAAACAAAACAAAGACAGTCAGAGAACAGGTGGAGTGCAGAGAAGGCAATATGAAAAGCAAAAAATGACCAAAATGCCCAAACATGAGGAAAGCTTCATGTAAAGGAGTAAATTTGTAGAAAAGGATGAGTAGATCAGTTCATATGAACAGAGTTCTTGGATGACACAATTTTATGTTTTGTTTGACGTTGAATACTTAGACAAGCTAAAAAAATATATCCTTGGTTAAACAATAAAACAAACAAAATATATTTATTAAATCACAAATGTCTATAAAACAAGTCACAGCTTTAGAAACGTTCATCCAACACAGAAACATCCACCCTGCTTAAAATGATCAATGGCTCGTACAGTAGGTATTTTACTACATCACTGAAATAAGTTAATATAAATGTACCAATTCATTTTGGCCTTCTCTACCCTGACACAAGTGTTGCTTATCAAGCCAATAAAAAAAAAAGAAAAAGATAAAGATAAAAAAAATAACACGTTCCCACCATATCTATTACTTTGGACTCGCTGGCAGTATCTGTCCAAGCTAATGGGATTTAAGGGGAGAGCTCTGGCCAGTGTCAAAGTCACCTCTGAGGAGAGTCCTGTGCCAAGGGGAGGGACAGTGGGAGGTGGGGAGGGACAGCGGGAGGTGGGAGGGTGGGGGTGGGACAGTGGGAGGTGGAGAGGGACAGTGGGAGGTGGGGAGGGTGGGGTGGCAGACAGAAGATGAGGGGGAACAGCTGAGAGCGACGGGATGAAAGACGGAAGTGTAGATGAAAAGATAAAGAGTATAAATCAAGATGGAAAGCAGTTGAAGTGTGGATAGTTGGGAAGAAAGACTCGTTTCCAATTTCTGATGTAGCCGATTGTTAATTTTCCTATTTGATTGATTACACCTGTTCATTGTTATGTATTCATTAAGCATACATGAATCTATAATTTGTGTTTTTATTTCTAAATTTAATTTTCATTTAACTGTTAATTATTTACCATATATTTTTTACCTATAAGTCACTTTTTTGTGCACAATTTGCATGCCCTACGACTTATACGCCAAAACAGACGTATTTATGGATTTTTTCTCATATTCATAAACCAATTTTTGGCTGAGATATGACCGTTTTCATCCATTCTGACTGAAAATATTGAACACTAACATTTTCAGCCACTAGATGGCACTCGAGTAGTATGGCATGCCGTTGTGTCATGTAATAGGTAAAAGTGGCTATTAATGACGCAATCAGCTTGCCACAGCCTGCCACCTTTGTCCAGCTCGCCTGGAGCAACCATCCAATCAGCTTCATTTTGCTGCGCCGCCCCGGAGAAATGCAGCTAATTTGACCGTTAAAGTTCATTTATTAAGTAAAAGTTCAACTGAGTCACACCTTTACTATAAAATGGAGCAAACAAATAATTGTTTTTAGGTGCTTATCTTGTTAAATTTCGAAGAAATGCGCAGCGTTCCTCCTTCCTGATTTACTCCTTCTGCGCGCTCCCAGAGCATCGAGGCAGCCAGTACTTTAAGAATCCAGCTGATTTGACCGTCAAAGTGCATAAAGTTCAACTGAGACACACCTTCGCTGTAATTTCGCGCAAACAAACAATTGTTTTTAAGTGTTAATCTTGATAAATTCTTGTTAAAATACTCTCGTGCACGCTCCCGCGACCGCCATTTGGCAGCCAATCGATTTTTGGCACAACCACGGCCCACGTTTCTGGGTTGTCAGCGGCGACGCACAACAAACGTGATACGTTAGCGGTGATGTATAATAGATGCGACATATTTATGGATTTTTCCACTTTATTAGGCATATTTGGACTGATGGGACTTATAGGGCGGTGTGACGTGTAAGGTGGAAAATACTTTAGGTTTGAACTGGACTTTGTTTAGAAATTATTATTGAGAAAAACAGAGAATCAACACAAAGTTGACATTTTTGCACAGTTCATTTGAGATGTCAAATGGAGCTCTAAAAGAAGTTGAACTGAATTTATTTCAATGTAATCTGTTTTATTGCTCATACTTTGTTTCGTGACAGTGGTCCTGACAAACTAAAGGATTTGGCTACTTAATGCAACTTTTCTGATAAAAGCAGCTTTAAAAATCAACTAACACATAACTCAACATAATTTTCTTCTAATTAGTGTATACAGATACATTTGTCTTTTACTAGATTTTACAAAAGATTTAAGTATATTTTGCTAGATATTTGTTAAAAAAAATGTTAGTTTATATTTCTCCCTTGAATATTTTAACTACAGCACTTACTTCTGCACTTCTAGTTGTGAGTTTTAACATTTTTTTAATGAATCTCCTCTATAAATCTTCTCAAATTACTTTTCAGAATGCCAGACTCAGGGCTCTATAACAATTAAGGGAATATAAAGCTAAATGTTAGTTTTCAAAAAGAGTTTCAAATGATATAAACGAGGTGTTAGAACACACAAATGTTCATAAAACACTTTAATTGGATAAGCAGGTCGTGAAAATTGATTATTTTTTCCTCTTAATTTTTAAGAATGTTTGTTGTGTCTTAGAAAGAACTTTTGTTTTCACTTTGAGAAACTTTATTTTAGGCTTTACCGAGAAATTCCAAGAGTCAAGAGAACTGTCTGATTTAAGTCCATCCATCCATCCATCCATCCATCCATCCATCCATCCATCCATCCATCCATCCATCCATCCATA